GCCGAGATATCAGTGGCACTGTTCCAGTGCAGGTATAGCGCGCCTCTACCTGCCTCCAATTACCGCCAAAATCATAATTGGCGGGAGGAGCGCCACGCTGGCGCCTGCCGCTTCTTTGCCGCTTTTTATTTTTTCTCTAAAATTTTTTTTTTTAGTCCTTTCATTTCCTATATACGTCCGTCGGTAAATGAAAACGTTTTTAAAAGGCGAAACAGAACAAGGGAAAAAACAGATGCAAGGAGCCGAAACCATAAATAAGGTGGGAAGAGGTGGACGGGATTCTCGGATATGGTTCGATCAACCTACCTCCGACAGCCCTTTTACGCATACACAGAATTTACCGTCGGTGATCGTGAACTGGCGCAGTTCATCTTTATTATTTACTATTAATAATAAGTCCTTCCTAGTAAATAAATCAACACAGGGATGGTGTACTACGGAGTTCTATCCTTCTCTATGTCTGACATGTCAGTTTCATTACTTTTATCAGTTTATCAGACCATCTGCTGATTGTCAACAGTCGTCGAAAGATGCAGATAATTATGTGGGAAAAAAAATATGACAACTTTCTCTTCATACCTTGACCAATTTCTATAACTGTAAGAAACATCAATCATAATATTAATCTGCAATAAATACTAAACCACTTGCTTGCATTTTTTTTAATTTGCCATCTCTCCACATTTCTAAAATATCAAGATGCATATTGCAAGACTAAATATGGTATATCCAGTTTTATTTCTTGTTTAGTAATAAATCTATAGTAAAGGATCCGTGTCTAAACCGGTCGAGCCTAGACGATTGATATGCTCAACGCTGATTTTAGGATTTGTCCTACCTAATAAACTAATTAATATCAAGCTATTGTCTTTATTAAAACTTAGAAAAGTAAATACACATAATTAATATGTGCTTCTCTAGGAATGAATCCGACTTGTCCAATCCTCGAAATTTCAGTTTATGGAAATCGTTGCATAACTTACAATAGGTTAATTATTAGCGTTAACAATGCAAATTGAAGCTGGTTAATGTTAGCGGAACAAAACACCTGTCGAGCGCTTTTGAGATGTCGTAAGTTGATATTGTTTAACTAATTATTGAGGGTTATTTATTTTACATAGAATCTATTCTTGTATAAGTTATGAAAGCCTCTAAAAATGATTATTATCAAAAATTATCAGTTGAATTTTTTTGGGGAGTGCCAAAGGTATGCGTTTAACCCAGTAATTTGCCGAGCTTAAATACCTCTAACCATCTCACAGATTTTCTCGTGTTCTTGATCAAGTTATCAGAGCTAGAGCCAACTCTACCCACACGCCATCCAATCCTGTCCCACCTTAACTCGTCCTCCTGACTTCTACTCTCCTCCTTACCAAACTGCTAAGTTTGACAAATCCTTTCTAACCTGATGGCATCCGTTAAAACTCCCAAGTCTAATTAATAATGTTGTATATTAAATCACTTTCTCCTATTTTTTATATGTTTCCCAGATTATTTTCTACTGATTTATTATTATTATTTTTTAATGTAATTTCGTTGTTTTAGTTATTGTAAGTTAATAATGTAAGCTGTGAAAGTTTTCTTTTCCTTTTTTTTTTACTTACTGTTTTGGCCCCTATGTCGTGTTCTTTTGATTTTATTCTAAATCGGGATAACAATAAAGAAGTATTTCAATACAGAAGACCGACTCTCGGGCTGCACATTTCCATTTGTATATACAGTCGGAATAATTTACATTAAGTCTGTGTCCTTTTGTTGGATAGAGTTCACCGTGGGATAATTTTTTATCTCCCATTCAAAAATGATAATAAAATATGGGAAGACATAGAATAGGACACACAGTAAGAGATACTAGACAGCCAGCGAAGAACCAATCAGACGGCGCCAGAGGAGATAAAACAGAAAACTATGAGCCACTCTTCCTTTAATGACATAACTACCTTTTTTAATTGTTCAATTTCCTCCGGGTCCTGAGGAGCAGGAGGGCAGCGAGGGAGAGATGGTATTATCCTTCCTTCCTAGCTTCCATTTATCATCCTCTTTAATGTTGCTTCTTCTCTGTCTGCCATTAGTGCTCTTCATCGCTACTGCCTCGTTAGCGTCCTCATTTCTTTGGGAGTTGAAGTCTCTGGATGGTCATTATTTCAAAATGATACTTTACTTACCAAATCTGCGCTTTGTTTAGTTTATAAAACGTTCTGCTTCTCGTTATTATGGTGCTCAGGGCTCCGTGTTAGACCATATTGAAAACTATCTTCCGACACAAATAATGGTATGTACAGAGTGGACCACGTTTAATATGCTAATTAGATAACGTAACGTTATAATGGAAGGGATCACTTAACATGTCAGTAATGTGTGAAATCACGTGACTCTCATAAGCTTTTATTTTCTCTTCACTCTTTGGAGATATAAATATATGCATACTTTACCTAAATCAATGCAGGATAAATTTAGATATGGTTACTGCATTGATTTGATAGAAAGGAAATATTTAAACAAATACATTAGTCAGCTTTGTATAAGTTTTTATATTTTATCGAAGATGTAGATTTTTTTTTTCTAATTAGAAGATTTCACCTATTATAAATTATTTAATGCTTTGGTTTTATGTACATACCTACTGATTTATCTGGCATAAATATTTCTTTTAAAAATTGTAAACTGCATTTCTGAATTATTCTTTCCGAAAATTTGAAATTCAATATAAGAAATATGTATAAAAAGAAACAAGAAATACTCTTAAATTAAAAAAAATATATATATATATACATCGGACTGATTTATTTTAAAAAATTGTGCGATATCTTTGCTTCTGAAAATTAAATTACACTCAAAGAAAAAAAATATATTTTTTTAAATATGACTACTACGATTTTCACCACGTTTATTTGGTTTTTAAAAAAGTCTATTTAATTTTTTAATTTAGTGATATTTATTTCGGGTGATGTAATTTCTTCTATTTCACTATTTCTCATTAAAGGAACTTTTTTCAATTTCTCAAAATCATTTTAAATTCCTCTGAAAAATTGTATCGTGGAACTACTGTATCGCTATATTTTCTTTTTCAAATATTACAATGTAATTATATATTCATATACAGATATATACAAACACACACACACACACACGCACATATATGTATGTAGATAACATATTAAAAATGAAAACTTGGTGAGATATCTGCTAAAGAGATAACTAATGGGTTTGAAGGTAGTGAGTGATAGTAGTTGATGTCTTAGCTAATAGGAGCCTCTTTGATGTGAGGATAGTGAGGCCGATAACGTATACATATATATAGTAAGGTTGACAATATTTATACTGAAGACTGTTCATTAGTAGAACGCTGCCTTCCAAACCCAGATATAACTCTCCTGCCCTCATATATCTTCTCTAATTGGCGCTCTCTCATCATCCATCCTTTCCTTAGTACATATTTATGTATATATTCATTTCCGGGAGTAAGATATTAATAATAGCAATAATATAGGCCTACCGTATTACTAGCTGACTCACAGCCACTTTGTTACTGCTCATCTTCCGAACCTTTTCTATCGTACATTTTTCCCATATGCTTTTTATTAATATAAAAAAAAGGTTCATTCAGTTCTAAGAACAACTGATCAATTATAGTCTAGACAAATATTAAAACAGGCCACTAATAATATTAACCTATTTTTAAAATTTCTAACCAATAATTATATAATCAATCATCTTTTCCTGATTACAATCTTTCCAAGGTGGGTGCGCTGAGTAAATCAAATCTGGGTTCATTGATTGCATAATCAATTACAGGATAAGTTTTTTTATTCTTAAATAAAACAGGAGCTTATTTTAAAGGAAAATCATTTGTGTGTTAAAATAAACAAAGCAGAACGGCTGCCTGAAGCTTTGAAGATGAAGCCATTCTGAATAATTATTTCTATTTCTTCAATATTTTATTCTTCTGAGGATTCTAGATATGAAGCCCTTCAAGGTATTTCAGCTATAAATCAATAAGTTGACTTCTAGTGTATATTTATTTGTTTGATCAGGGAACACAAAAAAATATGTAAATAAAAAAAATATGGCTTGGTAAAACAAAGTCGGACTATATAATTAAAGCTTTTAGATTTTTAAAAAATTGAAATATTATATATCATTATGTATATAGAGAAGTACCTATCACCCCCCTTTCCCTCCAAGATCGATGGCGCAAGAACCTACTCTTCAATATCTTCTCCCAAGATATTTTATCTCTCACCTTTCTTAAAAACAGATCAAGCTAAGGTGGAAAACTAGAAAAATCCTAGATCATATATAAATACACTTGATACGGTCAGCTCCATGCGCTATCCTTGTCCATTAGTCCAAAATTTCATAATCCCGCCGAAATTTGCACCCTAAAAATTCAAAGATACGTCAAAATATGTCCCCCTCAAAAACTTTGATGACACAACTTGTGCCATGACACCCCCTTATGGATCCCCTTACGTATATCGTATAAAACATTGTGTTCCAAACATTTTTTTCTTTTTTCTTTTTTTTGGCTCGCGGGCACCGTTGAGGCTTCCATCCATGTCCCATCATTGACTCCCATCTTGTGATGAAAAAAAAACTCTTGTTATATAAATTACAATTCAGCTGTGAAATTGAGTTTTCTAGGAGCAAAACCCTATGCAATTAATGTAGTAATCTCGTGTGTGAGTAAGTGAAGTGCAATTTTATTGCAAACATATTAAATACCTTATAATATAGCATTATTTTTCAATAATTTCATGGATTACAATTTATTTAAATGAGGTTAATTAATTTTAAAGTGCACTCATATCGGATATTGCATCCGAAAACCAGTCATATATATTTAGAAGAGGTCTGATCTAAATTAATATGCAGTTATTATATAAGATTTCCATTTATCTTGAATTATTGCAAACAAATATTACTTATGCCTGCCCTATTTTCAATTTAATCATGCTAGTACTTTATTAATTAATTTTAATACTTTGTTTCTGTTGCAGGTGACGGAAATAAACTCATCGCCAACACCCAAGTCCTGCTCCACAGACAGCTGGCCTACTGAACAGGAGATAATGGTGAGTACTTAACTACTTATTCATAATAAAATATATAAATAATAATAAGTTTGAATTGTATTTGGGCGACGTGGCCGAGCGGGCTTAAGCTTGCTTCATTACATTTCATTCGCTAACACGCTTTGCCCTGCGCAACCTGTAATTAACTGAAGATTACGAGTTCGACTCCCGCTGTCGGGGGCACTTTTAACTTATGACATTCTTCTTCACTCTCCCCTAAGAGAGTGTTTTTGTCTAGCATAAGAAAAACTAGACAAAAGACTTAATTGGAACATACTTAAGAAATTAAAATGACAATTCAACCAGTTTTTTGTTCAAAAAATGGTTTTGAGATACAGTTCTTTCCTAAAACAGGGCTATTCAGTTATTCGATGTTTATTAATTAATATTGAAGTAATCAGTGATTTTTGAACATTTTTTGCAACGAATAAAGAACTTCTTAATTTATTTTTTATTTAGTGCTTCTTCAATATTTTTAATGGTGATTAGGATTCACTTTGGAAATAAACGAATCATATATGATGTATACTATGGTGCGAATAGACGGGACTGGAATGTGGAAAGGGAGGAAGTACAGCGATATCGAGTTGCACAGCGATCAGGTGTCGTTATGGTTCGTTGTTTATTAGTGGAATCGTAAGTCTCTGAGTTACTGATGAATAATTGGTGGGCATTCAATTTGTTACGGGCGAAGAGAGAGGAGGGACGAAGAGCCGATGACTGAATCATTGATGAACCTCCTCATCGTAATGGCCGTTATTGCATTAGTGATCTCATCATTCATTAAATAACATTGGGCTCTCTTTACCTCCTTGCGATTACCGATTCCTCCGCTGCCTGCCCCCGCTGAGGATGTTCCCAGAGTGCTGGTTCGATTCTAGCCGGCCTAAATATAATATTGATGAGCAACGCCGCCGCCCTAACCGCCTACTTTATAAAGTATGATTGCTACCACCTGATTGCGACTATTTTGTGTCTATTGGGCACTATTGAATTCATACTGTATTACAAAAAAAAAAGTCAGTCTTTATCATTTATTTGGCAGTACAGTAAGATACAGGATACGGTAAATGTTGCTTTTCTTAGATTATCAATTGGGCAATATTCACTATACAAGACAAATTTAAGTATCTACACGTTATCTAATCCAGTAATACAGATTCCTTTTCCTGCTCTCAGGAACAATGGATGTTGAGATGTATCAAACGAAACAGAATTCCATAGAGAAATAATGAATCCTGATTTTGAACCATAAATTCTTACCATTTTAATAAAAGTAAGGAACGTGGTGGCCCTTGATGATAAATTAATTGCGAGTTCGCTTCCCGTTGTCGAGTGGAGGAGGACTTTTAACTCTGGCATTAATCCCCCGCCCTCACCCCTTTGCCGGGGAAAACCCCGTATATAGCCCAAAAGGCAAGGAAGGGGTGAACAAAAAGTTCTCCTCTGACGGTTCTTTCACTTCTCCCTGTCCAACGCTTCCTCCTCAGTCAGCCATCGGCCCGTCATACTCTCAGCCAGATCTCTCCACCTGACACGAGCTCTTCTTCTAACGTCGCCCTCCCACGCAAATGCCGTTTTGGGAAGTTAAAAAAATAAAAATAAAATAGTTTTACCACTATTTTACGCCACCCCGGACCATCTCCTTCCTTTAAAAAAGTAAAATAAATAAAAAAAATTTTTTTAAAGATTAGTTCCAAAGTAAACTATTTGGAATTATACTGGGTTCTTTATTTTAATACTTTAATATGTACTGTTTTGAGATAAATCATAATTCTAGCAGAAGCCTCTTAGATGAGATGGTTGCCATGAGATACTTATAGCATATTTTGATTTTAAAAAATGAAATGTGGATATCTATTATACCCTCCGATCAACTAAAATTTTATTGAAAAAGTAGATGGAGGAGAATGGTTCTGAAGTACTTTAGGCACCTCGGATCATATCGAAAGAAACTTTTTGATATTCTTAATAAATTATAAACGTATCTATTATAGCTTCTATACTAGGTTTTCAGCGAGTAAAATAATGGTTTATTATAAGTCCAAGGAATGCTATTAAAAATGTAATAATATTAAGAGTTGTTAATGAAAATGTGCTATTGGTAACACAAATTAATAAGCTTTAATGCTATTTATTTTAGGTATATTTCATCTAGACTTGTTGAGATTTTATTCAATCTGGAACATTAGGAGCGGATTTTTTTTTTCGTCGTTCATATTTTAATAATTAACGTTATGGTAAATATATACCTGCAAAATAATCCACCTCAAACTACCGATAATTACGTACCTATGGGCATAATTAATTGTAGATAGTTATGAAAAAAATTAATAATAATTTTGTCCGATTAATAGGTTATTTAGGAAATAACCGCTCATTTCTAGTAACTACTAGGTTACATATCGCCATCTGTTATCGTTAGAGTGAAATAATCACTCGCTAATGGGCTGTAGTGATGGCCGTTATTATAATTATCCGGTTAATCAGTAGATGTTACGTAATGTCATGGCGGCTATTTTCATGTCGCCAACGTACCACCTGATTCGATACTCTTATTTAAAATTTTATTTATGTAAATATTATATATTATATTAAATTTTAATTCTATATACATTTACAAATGGTGGAATCAATTCGTTACTGCGAATAACTGAGTCGCAGGAGAAATATATACATATTGGTAAATTTAACAGACTCAAAAACGAGTTGACTTTATATGTCCCAGACAGAAATGCCGACTAGAGAGCCGGAACCAGCCCAGCGAGGTATTGAGGTCGGGCACGCCCCTCGGCGTCTACCTCTTTGGCTTTGGCGGTTCTAAGAAAATAACTTAACTTATTATTAGTAGTTACAAAAATTTGTCTTTATGTTAAGGGAAGAAAAAACTAGAATATAAATTGAGGGGAAATACATTTTTATGAGATTTTTAATTTTTTAAAATCAAAGCAAAAGGGAAACATGGAACAGAGCAAGTAAAACAAATTACAGGTTTGGGAAGTTGGGGATTGGCACCCAGAAATGAGAAATACAAATAAAGAAAAATTTTTATTTTGTGTCAACGTTTTGGTTCAACCAGGACGTAGGAAAGATAACCAAAAAAATATTGAACAACCATAGTAAAAAGATACAAGAACAAAATATATGTTATCTGCTAATAAATAATTTTTGAGAAATAAATAAAAAATTTAAATATACAAGTATTGTATGCTATGGTAATGGATATTTAAGGATAATGGATTGTGTGATACATAACAAAAAAAAAAATATATATATGTAATTAAATTGGACTAGTAGGTATATGTGAAAAGTGAAAAATAAACTTAATAACCACTAAATGAAAAATATGTGGTATATAAACATGTTTATTGATAATAAGTTAATTTTTGACGGTGATAAAGTAATGAAATAAATAAAGTGATAAACAATGAAATAATGAACTGGAATATCGAGTAACATAAATAAATCGGAGAAATATGTATGAAGTGGTGATTGTTATAAATTAATAATATGTTCAGTAAAGATTAAATAAAAATAAAATTATGATAAGTTTAGAATGGAACATTAGGTATGAGAATTTTATAAAGAAGTAAGTATAATAAAATATAGTGATATCAATAGTACACAGTTATTCTTAGAAATTAAATAATAAAAAGTTATTAAGACCTAGAACGAGTAAAAAGAAAGAAGGAATGATTTTTTTTTTTATATGTATCATATAACCCATTATCCTCTCATTTAAAATTAAAAAATTTAAAATGTACTACATATAATTATATTTTCATAACTTACCATACAACACTTATATATTTGAATTTTTTATTCACTTCTTATAATTTATTTATTAGTTTTCACCAATTTAAATAAATAACATTTTATAAGAATATAAGACTCTACTAACATTAGAAAGGAAGGAGGGGGGGGATTGATGAACACTAGGCGGTATCCAGTTAAAGAATGAGTTAAGCATTTGTGGATTTTAAATATGAAATCACCCAGTCACCATCATCAATTTCTACATCCTGAACAAGGCTTTTTAGGCTTAGTAGTAGTAGTAATAAGTTATAAAGAGTGGTAGTAGTAGTAACAAGTTATAAAGAAAAGAAAGTTTCTGTTTGTGCATTTTACAGAATTCTATATATACGGAAGATAATCTAATTATGTTCAACAAATTAATAATAACTATATAAAAAAAATTTAAACCAAAATATGGCTCATTGAAAATCATTCCCATGATTTTAAATGTATTCTGTGAAAGTTCTAAAGCAAACGTTTACATTGAAATATTTTTTTTTTTTTGGAATATAAGATATTGAGATATATTACAATCTGGCACATCTAAGGACAATAATAATAGCGATAAAGAGTAGCTCATTCACACTATGCGCAATAACTGAAAATAGATAAACAGTAAAATAATAATACTAAAAGTAAATGTAAACAAACTAAAACTAATTAAACTAAACAAAAAAAAAAAAAAACTAAACTAACCAAAATAATTACTTAAATATATACATGCTTTTATACAATATTTACAAAATTCTTTGACTCAAGATCTCCGGGCCAAGCCTTTCTCCCCATTCGTGGAAGGAAACACGTGGCTCTAAGAGATCCCAGCGCCTCTCAATTAGCCGCATCACTGTTATTAAGGACAAGTGGAGGCTGAGCAGAGGCGCTATAACCAGACATATGTGGCTTGAGTGGAGAATCTGGCCGTTACCAAAACTAGAATATATTGCTACGATAGGCCCACTGTCGCTTCAACCTTCGAGGAGGAATATATGGATGGATAGAGCTAGATAGGGATTGTGTATGTGTTTTTGGATGATATTAAAGGTTTTGATGGAACAATGTAATATTAATTTTAATAATTCGAGAATTATACATGTAGTGGAACATTCCAGGTGCTCATTTCATAAACTTGCAACATTGCAGTTGAAAGCTACAAAGCTAAAAAAAAGGTATTACTGTATACGGATATAATTCAGTAAGATTTCTAG